ATTCGAGTATGGGTTTCCCTGAGCATAACTTACTTGATTTGGGCTCAGATTGATAAGAAGGCTACAGTCAGCAATGATGTATGCTTTGGTTCCATAGACTTTGCATCCTGTTTGTACTGTAGAGGTAGTGGTTTTAGGACTAACGACTAAGCTTTCAACCTTTTATGCTAAGGCGTCCATCTTAGCGTTCATATGGTCTAAACTACCGACTTTGTATATACCTCTTTTTGTTTATTTCTTCTCTACTAATGCTCGTTCAGTCCCCCATTGATAGTGATTTTGTGCCATGTCCTTTATGAGTGCGCAGGCTTCGAGGTATGGTTTGTTCATTAGTGCGCCACCAGCAGCAACGTCAATGGTCATTTTTGTTTTGTAGAGAAGTCTATTATAATAGGTATGGATGATTAGCCATTGTTCCATACCATGGTGTGGACATGCTCTTAATAATTCTTTGTATATTTCCCAAGCTTCGATAAGAGACTCACCATCTTGTTGAGTAAATTGAGTTATTTGGTTTCACAAGATAGCGGTCTTTCTTGGTGGAAAGTATCTAGCAAGAAAAACTTTCTTGATGTTATTCAGAGTGGTGATAAAATTTGCTTGGAGAGAGTCTAGCCATGAACTTGCTCTATCTCTGAGGGGAAAAGGGAATAAACGTAAATGTATAGCCTCAGGAGGATCACCATTGCTTTTCAATGTGTCGGCTAGTTGGATAAACACTTTTGAGTGTTGGTTAGGTTTCTTAGTCGGAAGACCGGCGGATTGGTTTTGTTGCACAATTTGCAACAAAGCAGATTTCAATTCAAAATTATGAACCAGAATTATGGTGTTAAGAATACTCGAATGAGGTTCTTCGTTAGAGGGTAAGGTGAAGTCCTTAAGTGGCTTAAGGTCTTGTTCTTCTGCCATTTCTCTATGGATTCGTCGGAGCAAACGTCTCACTTGTGCATATCTTTCTAATTCAACTATTGGATCTTTTAAAGTTCAGGTACTGTGGGTTCTTCGTATTTACTGAAAGGTGTGCCTTAGTCTAGACGGTGTAACAACGGAGTTACGATATTTAACGTAATTGGTCTCCGGAAACGGCGCCAAAAACTTGATGGGATATTTCGTAAGTGCACGAAAATTATCAAAGTAATACAAAGAGTGTTGAACCCACAGAGACCTAATAGTCAATCTATCATTTTCTATCATTGCCATGTTTATCTAAGGCTAATAGAATAAATATTGGAGTTGTGCAAGTAAAGTAAGTAAAAGAATATAATTAATATTAGGAAAGCAATGTTGGATTATAGATCTCATCGATTCCTCAATACTCTCGTTGTTCATAAATTGAATTACTATGAAAAGAACTAATCGAACAGGAATTGTCACCTTTAGGTGTTCAGAACCGGATTTTATTCTCTAAATTATACCAGTCATTGTCACGGTGGTGGCGCTGCTAGCGTTAAAGTAGTAAACCTTATTTTAAGAAATTAGACTCTTTGCTTAGATGAAAAAGTAATTTTGATTGGAAAATAAGCCTTTAAAAGGTTCCCGGTGTTCGCCCGACCAACCGTATTTTAAACATACAAACGCGTATGAAAATAGGTTCAAAAGTACTTTATTAAAATTTTAATCTTCCTAATTAATTAAAAAATAGCTTTTACGATTTTTATTAATTAAAAACTAGACAACCTTAATCTTTTATACCAGACGGCTTTCGATCTTACCTAGTTTATAAATGATCCTACTTTCATAGAAACCGACAAATTTAAGTTTAGAAAAGTTGTGATTAAAACCAAAACAGTCCCGTAAGTATTTCTCAAAGAAAAACAATTTATAGTACCGTTGAATCGACGGTTCTCACATTCCAAAACTTATAAATTTAGCTAGACATGATTGTGGAATGCGATAAAACAATTGGTTTGATCATGAAATAAGACATAGCAAATGAATTAAATGAAACTTTAAACGTGTAATTAAAAGAAAGGTAGAAGAAGAATGTGCGATAAAATAAAAGTGAGGTTAAATAAAGATATGATAAAATAAATATAATACGATAAATAAACCTGCTCCGAAGAGACTTTAATCTGGTAGAGGAAGTAAATTATTGAACTTGAATGCAGAAAGTAAATGACAACAAGATTAATTCTTCAAATAAAAGTTGCTCCAAACTCGATTACAAACTTGATCAATAATGCGATAACTCTTCAATGTGAAGAGTTGATCGCTTACAACTTCGATAATATGTGGCTTAAGTTTTGTAACTAAGCTTGGATGATTGAAAATGAAAGTTAGCATGGTATTTATAGAATTCATAAAATCCCAATCTCACCAAAGAGGTTGTCAAATGCATGGAGAGAAAATAGGAGGAAGTGGGGAAAGTGGGAGGACTAAGCAAGTCCATTTTCCAACCGCCTGGCCTTTACAAGGGGTGGCGACTGCCACACCTCCATGACGAATGCCATGGTGGTCGCCTTGACTTCTTTTTTTGCCCTAATTCTTCTGTTTTCTATCTGTTTTACTTTGTTTCTTCACTACGACTCCCAAATGGTCATTTATCTGAAATATAATCAAAATACCAATATAATAGAGGAAAAAGAAATAAAACAACAATAAAACATGCTCAAATCGAGTCAAATAAATGGCGTAATTTGGTGTTATAAGAAGTGTACCTCCCTAGTTTCCAAGATGAATCGTTATGCCAGAAGTCTTCATAGGGTTTTGATATTTGCCAAGATAAATATTATTGAATATGGCTCATATTACTGAGATAATTGTGGGTTTTTAGATAATTATGGGTTGTTAAAAGCAGAGCTCATATTGTTGAGTTAATCATGGGTTGTTGATATAACTATGGGTTTTTGAGAGTATAAATCATATTATTGAGATGATTATGAGTATAGATAATGGTTTGTTGAAGAAAACTAGGGATTAGGGTTTTAGGTAAACTAAAACTAATATTATATTTATGACTTGTAACACAGTAATCCAATGCAATTCATAAGACATAAATAAAGGAAATACTATAGTTATTCTATGGCCGCAGACGTAGGTAATTTGGCAGAATTGTGTGATCAAATAGTTTATGTGTTTCTCTTTACTCTGACTTGTATTCGCGTTACTGTTCTAACAATAAGAATTGTACGTGTATCCAACACGGGTACAAATCCATCCAATACGAGTATTATAATATTTTAGTAGTAGTCATGCTTCAAAACCTCTTCAAATGGAAAAAAGAGATAATATACAACTTGTCTGATATTATTCTAAGATGGACCAACAACAACAACTAAGTGTTATCCCACTAGGTGGGATCGACTACATGGATCATCTTTCGTCATAATATTCTATCAAGGACCATGCTTTTATCCAAATCATTAATCTCGAGATATTTCTTAATAACTTCTCTTATAGTCTTTCTGAGTCTTCCTCTTCCTCGAATTGTTTGTCTTCTATACATCTGGCCTACTCTCCTTACTACATAATCTATAGGTATTCTCTCTACATGCTTAAACCAATTAAGTCTATTTCCCATCATCTTCTCTATTATATGCGCTACCCCGACACTATCTCTAATAATTTCATTTCTAAAGTCTTACCACACATCCACTGCAACATCTCATCTCTACTACACTTACTTTATTCTCTTATTGATTCTTAACTGCCCAACATTTTGTCCAGTACAAAATCGTAGGTCTTACCGTAGTCGGATAAAACTTTCCATCCAGCTTAAATTTGATGGTTTACATCTCCTTCTATTTCTCCATCATTCTATATTATGGATCGAAGATATTTAAACTGTATGACTCGAAGGATAGTATGGTCTTCAACTTTCACCTCTAAGTTAGAAACACTTCTTCTTTTGTTGAACTTACATTCCATATATTTCGTCTTACTTCTGCTTAGACGAAAACCATATGTTTCTAAAAATTGTCTTCAAGTTTCCAACCTCTCATTTAACTCCTCCCTCGACTCTCCAAGAAGGACTATATCATCTGAAAAAAGCATGCATTTCCGTGCTAGCTCTTGGATGTGTTCTATGAGTACATCCAAAATTAATGAAAAAGGTAGTGGCTTAGGGTTGACCCTTGATGCAAACCAATTGTAATGGGAAAATTGTTTGTCTCTCCATCCTGTGTCTGAACACTAGTCGATACTCATTCATACATATCTTGGATAACTCAAATATATGCAATCCTAACCCCTTTCTTCTCTAGAGCTTTCCATAAAAAATTATAGGCACTCTACCATACGCCTTTTCAAGTCAATAAAAATTAAGCTTAATTGCAACTTTGCTCCTCCTATTATCTTTTTTTTTCCTTCCGATTTTGGTCTCCCTATTTTAAAAACCGATTTTTATGGTCCCTCTATTTATTTTTTTGAGGATTTTAGTCCTCATTCATATCATTTTGCCAACAAATGACTCATAACTATGGCCAACAGATGAAATTGAGTCAATAAACTCTTCTGTCATGAGAAAAGTTATTGGTCGCCCAAAAAATACTCATAACAAGACAAATGATCAACCTAGAAACGCAAATACTTCGTCCAGATTTCTTCAAATAGTGAAATGGAAAAAATGCGAGAATATGAGACACAACAAACGAACATACAAAAATAAAAAGGGTGACTGAGAGAGTAATACCTAAAGCGCAATACCTAAAACATCACTATTATCACTGTCTTGTCATTAAAAATGCTCTTAGATTTAAAAGGGGACTAAAATCCTACAAAATACAAAATAAAGGGACTACAAAAATCAGTTTTTAAAATGGGAGAATTAAAATTGAAAAAAATAAAAATAATAGAAGGACCAAAGTTACAACTAAACCTAAATTTGATAAAATATTCCAACCTTTTGACCTCTTTAACATCAAAACAATTTAAAAATATAATATTTGCAAATTATTAAATTAATTTTTTTAAAGGTTAATATTGAATTGATCAGTGAACAATTAATATAATAGTTTCACAAAAAATAGTAATTTATACAAAACAGAATCATAAAAAAGTATTTAAGAGCTTGAACGTAAGAAATTTAAAATAATATTGTTGAATTCCTCTGGCTTTTCAGTTTGAGGCACATGGGATGCCTCCTTTATCAACTCTATTCTTGCCTTTTTACTGATTACCCTGCAATAGTTAAAAGCTTAGTCATATCACATATCAAGCATTAAGCTGAACGTCTAGTAAAAAGGCACTAACAAATTATTGTGAAGGATTTGAATACATACTCTTTCAGTTCATGGGCCATCTGCACAGGAAATATTTTGTCATCTTCACCCCAGATTATGAGAACTTCCTGCAAATTACGACTAATGTTTAATCCGCCTTAGTAACGTCAATTCTAGAGATTTGCATGTCACTAAAAGATTCTGTGTAGAGAGTTACCTGTTGAAGAGGTGAAATGTTTGACGTATCAATCTTTCCGAGGGACAGGCCACGTAGAAGCTCCATCTTTTCCTTCCTATTTTCCGTGTATAATTTCTGCAATATCACAGATTTACATTCTTTTTTTTTTTTTCATACAAATTAAAATCACGTAATATATATATATATATATATATATATATATATATATATATATATATATATATATATATATATATATATATATATATATATATATATATATATATATATATATATTTATTTTTTATCAAAGAAAAGGAAGAGTTGGTGTTTTATATATTTTAATAATATAAAATATTATTTTTTATATGAAAATATTTTTTTTTCTTTATAAATATGTGTTTTTTTTAGTCGTGATGGAGATGATAATTATTAGAACTTTTAAATTTTATAATTAAAAAAAAAGTAAAGACTCATTTAATCCATTTTAAGAATTCACAGAAAAATAAATTTATTTAATCCCTCGATATTGAGGAGAATATTGATGGTGATGATGATTAACAATTTAACATTACCGACGAGGTCAATTTAGAAAAGGAGAGCTTTAACGGCGGAATTACGGACAATGAAAGTGATGAAATCCGAGGTATCATTTTCAACAATTGTTTGTTTATGGTTTAAAAATAAGAAAAAAATTAATTTTAAAAAAAATATTTATTGAAAGATTAATATGACTCGATTAAATTTTGTAAAAGATTAAAATGAGTCTTCACTCTTAAAAAAATTTATTTTTGTTGAACAAATATATTAAAGGATATCTTCTTTATTGTGTACATGACTGTGTGGACTCTAGAAATCTTTGGTTTTACTCCTTTAGATTTTTTAGCTCAAAAATAAAATTTATCTAAAGAAGTGTTTGGGCTCTGGTGGGTTCATGGAGTTTCTGCTAAGGACGACATTCAAGAAATATCGAATTTGATTTCTAGTTGGAAACAATGCTTAGCCAGACCATCCTGACCTCGAGGACAAAATCGGATTAGTCAATATGCTATGCGGATCGTGAAAATGAAAAGAAAAAAAAATGAGATTCCTGTGCTTTAACTTCCGTAAACCCTAAGATTTTGTTTGAGATTTAGGAGGGAAAGAGAGAGGAGAATTTTGAAAAAAAATAGAAAGGATTGAATGAAAAGAATATAAATTTTACTTGGGAGGATTTTAATGGATTTGTTTTTTTACATAACAGTAAAAACCCCTTAATTTAGAGGAAATCAATTTGTATTGGAAGAGAATTTTTGAGGGTTTAATCAATTTGTTCAAATATAATTTTTGTTTTTATAATATTTTAAAAATTAAAAATATATTAATGATAAACATTATTTTATCATTCTAAACAAAATCTTTTATTAAAAAATATTAAATTTCACTATATTCCCTTAAAAACTATTTTTCGAAACCCTCCCTTTCTTTCCCTTCCCCTAAAGAGACACATATAAAATTGTTTCATTAGGTGGAACTCGCTCAACTTCTCATGCATTCTTATTATGCCGATGGAAGTTGTAATGGAATGCCAACTCGTCCTGGCTTTGATGTTATCTTTTGCATCTCATCAAGGACATAGTAGTCCAACTTCTCTTGATTCATTCCAAACTCTTCAAATATCCTACACTAACAACTATCAAGTTTATGATGAGCTGAATCTACTATCAAGCAAATACTAAAAGATTTCACAAACTACCCAAAGTGCCCTTACCTTCATTTTTTTTTCACTGCAAAATGCCCAAAACCGTGAATCACAAATACAACCTCACAAACTTCCTTCTTTTCTCAATTCATTCTACAAGTGTTGCAATATCATTGGGCAGAACTACAACCTCAACCTCATTGCTTCACTTTCTCTCTCATTCAACAGGGTTTCCAAAACCCTCTTTATCTCTTCACGATTCAAAACCTCATTCCCTCTTCTCTCTCCTCGAACCCTAAAAATGTCTGAACAAAAAAAAAACCACGGAACCCCCTCCCCGCCGTCGCACACCAAAATCACGTCGGGACTCCCCTCCCCGCCGTCTCCACAAATTACTGTGAAATGGAATACGAAGCAAAATGCATAAGATGAAGAACATGAATCAAACCGCATCCCGCTAACATTTTGAAGACCCCAGACCCGTGTTTAATTAAGGTAAAAGTTTTACTCAACTTTTTTTATTTTGAATTTGAAACATTAAAGCTTATGATTTTAGATATACCATCAAAATATCATACAAAAAGGCTCTCAAAATATGTAGATCTGAACTCATGTGATTTTAAAATATTGTGGTTGAGTTTATTGTAATGATTTCTTATTTGTTAGTGTTTCTAAACTCCTATATTTTTCACAGGATCTATACCTAGAAAATGGAGTTGGATCTATAGTTGTTAGTGTTTATTGTAAAGGGAGCTGAATCTATATTTTTTTAAATTCTTTGATTTCTTATTTATTGTAATGATTGGATTTATATCATAGTTGATGTAACTATTATGGTGTTTCTTTTCCCCATAGCTCTTTCGATGAATTTGAAGAACAAATGTTTAAAGGCCAGAAATTGCAGATAATCCTATATTTCGTAATAGAGAGAAATATGACATATAATGCTTGCTGCTAACTTACATGACTACGAAGCCAAAATTTGATTTTTTTTGTGACTATAACAGATATATAGCCTTGATTTTATTGTTCAACTAACTTCACTATCATTCTCTTCTCTAATTCATTCTTTCATAATCACAGCAAAACCGGTTTCAATCATTTGATTTAATGCTTCACTATTTTTCAATGCAGACAGTGAATCTAATTCTCCAAAGTTAACATTTGATGTTGTTGATGTAACGAGAAGAAGATTAGCAGAGGAGGTATGTTTTTGACATTCAACTCTAACATATGTGACTGTATAACTATTTTCCGTATCTGTGTCGATCTTAGAATTTAAGACATTGAATTGACTTTAACTCTATTGCATGAAATCCAAATAGATAAAACATGTTTCTTCTAATTGTGCTGATCTTATTTTAATTTGAATGTGAGTTATAATTGCAGCATGAACTTTGATTTTATTGTTGTGCATATGACTAACTTTACCAAGGAAGAGTTTGTGCATATTCCGCATAGACAGAGAAATTGTTAATTGAGTTTTTTAACTACGTTGGTTTGGGTTTGTAGGTAGATATATCTTGGTCTACCAATCATTTCAGACATAACATGAGACAGTTCCACCATCGAAGCATAGGTCATTGTTTCCTGATGCTTGACCATCATATTAGTGATTTCCCTCTCCTCTCTAATAGTCCTCCTTTGCAGTGTATGGGCTTGTAGCTACTGCAAAATTGACATGCTATGTAACTGGAGGAACAACAGTTAAGGCTAGGCTAATATGCTTCCAAACTATTCATAAAGAAATCTATTTCCATCTTAACATAAAACTGATAAATTTTTGAGATTTACAGGTTTTTATCTGGTTAGATGCTCCAAAGCTCATCAATTTCGACAATTATATGAAATTTCTTACGGTTGTTGGGGACAAATTGTATTGTGGTTGTTCTGGTTACAACATACAGGTAAGCACTCCTTTACCTTGCTTCATAGACAGCTAATTCGATGTACTTGACAATAATAGATAGTTTTAAATGTTTAGTGATTAACTAATGAGTTCTATGAGCTTTTGGTAATTGGTTTAATCTGTTATTGAGAAATCAAGGGAAGATGTCCATGGAAGATGTCCATTTGCAGCTTAGAAGTGGAATACTCACTGGATTATATAGTATTCGAAAATGGCTGACACGTCAGTGAAATGCTTTACAACTTTTAATTATCCGCTTCTTTTGATTATTCTATTTGGATAGTATGTTAAACTCATAATATGACCGACACGTACTTCTCTTTCCAACATGTATTTCCCTTTTGATTTTATGAAAATCAGGGCTTATGATAAAGCAGCTATCCAAAGCAATGGAAGGGAAACAATGACTAATATTGAGCCCATCACATATGAAGGAGACATGAAATCTACATTCATTAATGATGGTAATAAACACTATAACAAAGATCTTATTTAAATTAAAGAGTGATATTTGGAATATTATTAAAATGTTCTCTATGTGAAATCTTTTTTATTTTAACACAGGCAACAGTCCAAATCTTGATCACACTTAAGACATAACCAATCCAGGACCGGGTCCCAAAAAAATTGAAAGAAATTTCACCTTCCCAAATCTTGAGCTTTACATATACATTTACGTTTCTTCTAATTTGTGCTGAACAAAAAGTTAATAATACTCTTTATAATTGTCTTGCTAATATATTACCTATTTATAATTGTTTAAGAAAATTAAACTTGCAGAGGAAAATCAAACTTGTAGACAGGTAATTTCATGTAAATCTTTTGCTAATCTGTGTTATTTTGATTAATGTGGTAAATAATACTAAATATTTCTAATTTTATCTAAATAGTTTTAATAATTTTTATTTACTAAATCTTCTGATAATGTTGCTCAATTTCATAGAGATTTTGATCTATGTTCAACTTCCAATCTCTAATAACTTATATTTTACTGGAATAACTTAAAGATGGAAAAAAATTGATGGATTAGTAGATAATTTATTATTTGTATTGGATTTGATGTTGTATTATATTTTATTAAGTTTGTCATTTATGTTATTTGGAATCTTTAAGGTAAGAATTTTTTTTAATGCTATTTAATATTGTATTTTGATGATTCAGTATCCAATTTTATTTAAAAATTGAAACAACTGCTAATTCAAATGTGAATGATTTAAATGCTCTAAATAACTCAATTTTTATTGATAAATCTAAATCACTTATTTATTTAATTATTCACAATTTATAAAAAAATACAATATTTGATTGTGTTTTTGGCATTAAATATTTATGGGCCAGTGAAAAAAAAAAAAAAAAACGGTGTTCTGGACATTGTTGTCAAACAAACTTAAACGAAAAAATTTGAAAAAGAATTAGATTTAAACCGAACTGGAAAAAACTAAAAATGAACTGGTTACAATTTGGACCTTATTTATCACCTGTGATTAAGAACGGTTTAGTAGTTTGTGTCCGAATACGACCGATTGCCCGGTCTTATGAGTCATAGGAAAGCTTATTGAATTGTTAAATTAATCAAAATGATATGATTTTAATAAATTTTATATATTTTCTTACCATGAATATATTTAATTATATAGTAGTAATAAAAATCTACTATCTATTTATTAAAAATCAATAGCATACATTCTCTAAATTGTCTTTCATAGTATATTATAATTTTTTATTTTATAAATTTAGTTTTTTTATCTCACATATCACTATCAATACAAATATCTATTTTAATATAATTAAATAAATATAATTATTATTCTTACAAATAATAAATCATTTAAAATTTTGTATTTAAATATAATATTTTACTTTTATATTTGTTAATATTTTATTTTTTCCTCCAACTCACATATTATTATTTTAAATATTTTTATATTGGATTTTTATGATTATTATTCATTTATAATTATATCATTCATTTCAGTTTAATATTCTTTCATGGAGAAAAAACTTTTAACATCTATAGTAGAATGATTGTTAGAGTTAATTACGTTACATTTTTACATTTTAATTATTTTCTTTTCCACTGCCAATTTTCTATTTACTTTAAAATAAACATGTCTCTTATATTTTAAATTTATATAAATAATTAACTTTTTATCTTACGGATCACTATAAAAATAATTTATTTTATTTAAATTAATAATTTTTTTTAGAAAATAAATATTTACTTTTATATATTATTTTTTTCTCCATATCATATTTCTCCACCTTACCTTTTTTTATTTATGATTAATTAATATAATTAAATTTATATGATTATTGTTCATTTTATAAATAAGTAAATCATTTTAAATTTTGCATTTATATTAAAACTTTACATTTACATTTTTTTAAATTTTATTTTTTTATGATTATTTACTATTTTATATTTATGTCTTTTTTTATATGATTATTTAATACACTTAAGTTTCTATAGTTATTATTTATATTAAGTTTAATTATATTATAATTACTATGTCTAAAAAATATTTAATTTTATTTCTGTCTTTTTCTTTATATGATTAAACTAATAATTTACATTTTGATTATGCAAATTGCTCATAGTTAAGGGTAGCAAAACGGATCGTCCGTCCCATCCCGTCTAAAGTCTGCCAAAAAATAGTAGAATGAACAAGTCCGAAAACTAGAAATGAGAATAAAAATCTAGTTCGCCTGCAAAAATGATGGATTGGCGGACGGCAGTCTTGTCCGCATACTTTTTATTTTATTTTATTTTTTTAATAGATTAATAGGTTTTTTTCCTTTTTAATTAGATTTATCACTTATATTTTAGAATATTTTTTATAAAGCATTTTATTAATAAATTTTACTTGCATATCTTCACAAATTAATATATAAAATAAAATCATCAAAAACTATAATTATTATAATTAATTAGAAAAGAGCGACTTAAATTGGAACAAACTAAAAGAATAGGTGTGGCTGGCTTTGGTGGGCGGCAGCTTTTGACGGATTACGGTCTTTAACAGGGCAGAGTTTGGTGGACGGCGGACTCAAAATTCCAATCCAGTCCACCATTTTAGGCGGGTGCGAGGTCCGACCCGACGAGCCACGACCCGTTTTACTACCTTTACTCATAATTCATTTAGAACAGAGCAACGAGCTCTGATTCTTCTCCATTTATTATCATTAAAATGATACAAAAATGCTTACCATATCAAGTTTATGATGAGATGAATTCATTTTGTGATTGAGTAATGAAACAAGGATTTGATTCAATAACTTTTGATACCATATCAAGTTTATGATGAACTAAATCATCTTGAAGAAGAAAAGCTAAAAACTAGTTCGAGCAAAGCAATGTGGTCTCATTCTTCTTTGTTTATTATCAGAAAATGATACAAAAGTGTTTAAATTTGATATGAATTTCTAACTAAAAACCAAATTTCTACCAAAATTTTCCTCAAATAGTAAACCAAAAGTGTTAAATACTTTTTTTTTTAGTTTACTTCCTCCTCCCTGTTTTAAGTTCTCATGAGAACAATATATATAACAAAACTACAGAAAAAGATAGTGGCATAACATGAATGAAAAATTGGAATAATAAGAAAAAAAAAGCAGAACTCACATTTAAGAAGTCATTCAAGAGAAAATCAGGCATGAAAGCGATTCTTTTGGCCACAGCAAGTGTCATCAATTTCCTCAAACTTTGCGGAGACGTAGGCAACATAAGGTCCTCAATTTTCTCCACTCCAGCTCTTTCCAACAACTTGACGTTATGATTCTTCGTCATATTAACACCAGAGCTACAAATAACCACTTTTTCAATCTTGTCTTCCCCTAAGATTTTCGCCAAATTATAAGCAACAATACCGCCATAACTCGTCCCTGCCACGTGGCACTTCTTCAACCCTAATTTCTCCAACAGTTTCGCAACCGATGCGGCTTGAAATTGCTCGCATCTTTTCTCCGATCTCGTTGTTGATTCGCCGAAGAAAATTAGATCGGGAACGTAGAGATTGAAATGTGGAGCTAGAAATTGAACTTGTTGACGCCATTGCCATATGGCTGTAGGACCGAATCCGTGAATCAGAACTAGAGATTGTTTGTGTGTGGATTGATCTGTTGGTCCCCAAACGTGGAGAGATGTTTCGTTGTCGATATCTATTTTTTGAGAGAAGAGACCGGAGCCGGTGAAACAGCGACGGAGGTAGCCGCTGTATAAGCCGGAGAAGCTCACAAAGGATGGAAGCATGGTGTGGGTTGGTTAATTGTTGGATAATTGGAGAAATGAAGAAAAGAGAAAGTGTGATGTATTTGTACAGTGTTGTTGGTGAAAGGTGTGAGACTGTGAGGGATGGATGAGTTAGCTTGGTAGGAGAATGTTGCAAAGATTTTCTGCTAGAAAATGATTTATTTGGAATAAATGTAAATTAAATGTAAAGAAAGTAGTAAAGTTCTTGTTGTTGCTCAAGAAAATAAATTAGTTAGGTTGGGTTGGTTTTCCATTATTATATGGAGCCAAAAGTCTCTTTCTGCCTGCATTTGTTTTTCACTGTTCAATTAGCTCTCCCTGAAATAACAGGATCGCGATAAATTAGTTTGGTCATCGTGGACCACATATAAATTATATTTCATTCTTTGGGTTGAATTAGTATCTTTAAAAAAAATATGTTTGTTATTGTTCCATTCTCAAATGAGTGAGTATTAGATAATGGCAGATCTAGCTTTTGATGCGACGTAGAGATGATTTATTTATAAGATTAACATTATAACGATTTAATTAATATGTGAATGATAAGAGTGATTGAAATTAAATTTGAAGTTGAGTAGTTGAATTGATTTATATCTTATGTGATTATTAGTAGGATAGTCCACATGCGTTGAGAATATTCTAGAAGGATTATAATTCCTTCAGAGTGGCGGTCGGGATCACTATAGTCGGTTCAGAAAAGTTATCTTCCTCCCTCCCTCAAACGCTTGTCTATGCGTAGCAATGTGAGGATTTGTTGTATGTGTCTCAGTTGACCTCTCTCTCTTTTATTTTTGGAAGAGCAAAAGAAAACATTTCAGTTTCTTGTGGATTTGCGTCATTAATGCTTCATACTTCAAACGCTCTTTTAGAAGCAACCTCACTATAATCTTTGGGAACTAAAACACTTGATTTTCACGTGCGAGTGATTTGACATGTTTGATAAAGTTTACTTTCTTTTGCATGATAACATATGATTGAAGATTAGGTTTGCATTTCTTTGAGTTGTCTTCTAAGTTAGTGGTTATCTTCTTTTCTTTTGACATTTTGTTTTCCTACATCTAGAAAAGTTAGTAAATCATGGATAAAAAATCATAGAAAAATACTAAAAAATCTCAGAAGAATACTCAATCTTCGTGGATGAACTCGAATTATTCTTCAACCATTTCTGTTTTTGCCAAAGAGGGTAATCTTAATGGAGTCTTTTTTTAGATTGGTCCATCTTCGGATTGGAGCGTCTTGACCCCTAATGAGAATGACAAAATATGCAGTAAGTGATGTTGTAGTATTTAGTAATCAAAAGTGTAAGTATTTGTTTTATCGTCTCCACAAGGATTAGTGCGATATCAATGTCGTTCAACAATTAATATGTTTTTAAGCTTAAGTTTGCAAGGGTTTGAAAGTTTAAAGTTATGGAAAGTAAAATGGGCGAAAGATAAACAATGTTTCAGAGAGATATGAGAACTTGTCAATATTGGATTTCATCCACCGCAAGAATATGCACTTTACCAATCAGTTGTACATAATCTAAATATTTATCAATACCATCATGTATCGCTCACAACACCGTTTATGTCTAAACATCTTATGAGATTTGAATATTTTAATCAGCGATCTCTCAGCCTATTAAACGATTCCAACCTTATTGTTTATTCAACGATTTTTCAGCATATTAAATAATACAGTGCATTAAGAATCAATACTCTCTGTGAATGTTAGCCTAAATCTATGTCTGGAGTTTAGAAATGTTCATCTTAGTTCGAGTTTCGAACCATATTTCTCAATAACAATCCAAACCCATTAACATAAATACTACAACAAAGATAACATCGATATAGATTCATAAGTAGAGTGTATACAACTTCATGATTAATACAAATACATACTAAAACAGTAAACTTACATCCAATCCAAACCTCAATCATGATTTCCTAATGATCAACGTGAACCCAGCTCCCGATCCTCAAGTTGCACCCTCTCTTCTTGTTTTCTAAGCCTCTCTCTCTCTCTCTCTCTCTCTCTCTCTCTCTCTCTCTCTCTCTCTCTAAAATGGTGTCTTGGTCCGAAAATGATAATGATACCCAAAAAAAATTGTTTATGCCCTTATTTAAAGAGTTCCTGGAAATATTACCTCACCCAACGAAAACCCTTTTTTCCTCATATCAGCTTGTGCAAAACACTCAAACCTCCCTTTGGAAAATATCTAAACTCACCTGGAGAACTCAAGTCTCGCCCGATGAGCTTTACGCTTTAAACTCTCCTAGCGACCACGATGTGGGATGTTACTGGAAAGCTTCAGTTTTGTCTCTCGATGTCCTCGCCTTGGCCTTGCTGGGAAAGCTCGCTCTTGCCTCGCCCCGAGCCCCCCCGACGAACTTGCTGACTTTCCTATTCTTTGTTTTGTGCCTTCTTATTGGATGAATTGCCATAATTTTATGCACAAAAACAAACATATCAAATATACCACAACTAAATACAAAAAAGATCATATTCTAGCAAAACTTGGGGAATTCGATGGTCGAAAACGTGAATTGGAGCCTAAAAATGCCAAGTTTTAATGTGGAATTTTAGTCATATTTGGAACTTATCAAACTCTCCTCAACTTTAACCTTTGTTTCTCCTCAAACAAGAGTCTTACAATTCTAAAGAAACAAGAGCAACTTCTAAGACATCTAGAGAATCAATAAGTTTGGAAAAACAAAAACAAATGCATGGCTCAAATTCAAAAGCACAAACAAAGTAATGCTTACCACTATACTACAACGACACCATGAACATGAAACAAATACTAAGTACAAAACACATATCAGAAATTCTAAGACAGTACATGTTCAAACATGAATCACACCTAGCACACAACTTCATCAAAGAATGGAGAACAGAAATATGAGAGACTTGACTCTTACCCAATAATCTTTCTAACATCCAGATTAAATTATGCATTCATAAAAAAAACTCATGTTAAAAACATAAAAGCACAAATCACAAAGGACTTTTAAAGGATGTAACGTGGCTTGGATTAACAAAGAAAGGTCATATCTCAAGGCCTTCTAAACAAAATTGCTTAATCCTATGAGAGCAACCACTTCTCAAATTTTCAAGCAATAAAAAATTATTCACCCTTTTCTCTTTGGTCATCTGCTACTTGACCTTATTATTATTTTTTCTTCTTTTTATTTTCTCTTTCTTTTATTTTTCACATTTTTATTTCTTTTTCAACCACTTTATTTTTTCAACCTCTTAGCAACCAACCTTTAAGCAACCAATCCCTTTTCTGTAACACCCCAATTCTACCCCGGAAAATTATATAAATAAATCAGAGTTATAAAATTTTAATCATACAAACGAATCGGGACGCCACAAATTCTTCTATTGAATTCATTGCATTCATCATGGATATATAACACTTTTTTCAAACATCGGATGAACCATCAACATAATATCTTTAATCAAATAAATCAACATCTACGCAGCGGAATTCTTAAATACACCTCTAACAAAACAGCAACTTCGAAACATCTCATATTTAATGATAATCAAATTAAAATTCAACAAATGAAAATCAACAACCAAAAATAGCAAGCGTTCATCCCCCCCGAGTGTTACATATCATAGCAATGACACCGACTCGAACTATTGAAGGTATACAGCCTTCACTCTCGATTACCTGCACGTTACCAACATAAGGGAAACATTCAAACAAAAGGGGTGAGATATCTAACAATATAATAAAGTGCATGATAATTAATATATTAAATTAGATCAACAACATCACCACTTCTCATCTCATAATCAACAACAATCTCAACAATAATATACATTCATCCACATCAAAATACACTTCTTTATGAAATCATATAATGCGACTCAATACTATGCAAATGCATGTGGTACCATTGGAGCAGAACTCCCATCTCAAAAATTTTCCAATTAATAGAGGCATTAACAAGGCATAGCCTTCATCTCAAAATTTTCCAATCCAGGCCATCTCAACGAGCATAAGCTCCATCTCAAAAATGCAATGTATGCGACACAACCATGAATGTAATGATAACATCCAAGTTAACAACATCTCAAATCATCTCAAACGTCTCAAATTAACATCTTAAAAGCATCTCAAATAATCATCTCAAAACATCTCAAATCATTATCTCAAAACAACTCAAAATACATTTCAAAATAACATCTCAAATAATCAAAATAATTCATCAAACGTCATTTATTTATAAATCATCAAACATCATTTATTTATTAATAAATTCTCATTTATAACTCAGCAGTATTTTAATTCCACAGTAAATCAACACTGTCATTCTGTAACTCTAAAGGCAAGACCGTCACTTTACTACTGTTATAGTTCAAACAACAGCTTCTACGCATCTAACTTCCACATTCTGCACAAAACAGCGTAAAAGGCCATCCAACTCCTGACCACGCAACCTCTAATCAACGCTATTTCTAAATACACCACTTATGACTAATGCAACCTCTGATCAGATGCAACTTCTGATCATATCATCTTCTGACCACTCAACCTCTGATCATGACATCTTCTGACCACTCAACCTCTGACCATGACATCTTCTGACCACTCAACCTCTTACCAGATACAACTTTTGATCATCTCATCTTCTGACTAATGCAACTTCTAATATCAGAACTGCTACCTTTCACTATGCCATGCATCTCCTAACAGCTTACGTCTAACTTCAGAAATTCTATCTTGCACTAATCTAACGCAACTCTAGTCAACATACCTCTACTGTCAGAACTGATACTTTCTATTCGTCCTACTATTTTGATTCTTTTCCTGTGATTCACCTAATTAGGAACAGTACGCCTAACGCCATCCCTAATTGATTCATTATTCTAAAACAACAACTTCTGATGTTCTTCACGCCTAATTCTGCGTTTTCATTACAACTACATTCAACGTTTCCATTACTGCATCTCACTATGGGATTCACGTTTAAATCCCTAAAACTTAATATAATCACGTCAAT